CCCCCTTGTCCTATCACTACATACCCTTGTAGAAGTCCCTCTCCAGATTTCTTGTAAGCCCTCTCTAGGCACTGGAAGGCTGCTGTAATGCCTCTCTGAAGCCTTCTCTGCTCCAGCCTGAAAAGCTGAACTCTCTCAGCCTGTCTTTGTAGGAGAGATGCTCTAGCCCCCTGATATTCTTTGTGGCCCTCCTCTGGACTTGCTTTAACAGATCCACATCCTTCTCATGTTGGGGGCCTCAGAGCTGAATGCAGTACTCTGGGTGGGGTCTCAGAGAGCAGAGTAATTCTTTACTATGTGCCCTTCTCTGGTCTCCAGTGTCCCCTCCCTTCTCAAGACCCACTATATTCAATGAGGATCACTTCAGAGACACCTAAAATGGCCTTCTCATATCTGGACTTTGGCCTCTGCCAACATGGAAACTCATCTACTACTGATGAAACTAATAAGATTATCAGGCTCATACGTGACTTCACTGCCTGCGTTGTATTCATGCAGTATTTGTATATTTTCCTGCTGATCCAGAAAAAAACTGCTGTAGCTGAGAAAGATACGTGGGCAGCCTAAGATGTTAAATCCTAAGATACAGATTTGTAAGAATTTGGAAAAGCAAGTCTCAGATGTTCAAGATGTTTAGTATACTGAAGCAGAGTTGTATCTTAAGCACAGAATTCACAAGGTTCATGTCCTGGACATCCTGGCATGGTGTCACCACACATGACCCCTTTGTGCCACAAATGGGTCATCCTGAGGACAGACATACAAAGTTGCTTCTGTTTTCTTAAGCTGAGTATGGCAGTGTTGTGCCACAATATAATCATGATGGTCCTAAGGGGAATATCCTCAGTGTTTCTGTGTTTTATTATGAATGCTAGTCACTAAGCAAATGCCTGGTGACATGCTATATCCTCTCAGTTCACCTTGATTTGGGGAGCATGGCATATCTCTCAGGATCAGCCCCTAATAGTCTTGTTTAACAACATTATTTTCTCTCTAAATCCCACATCAGCCAAGAGAGAGCTAGTTCAGTACTGTTGCATGTCGCTAAAATAACATACATCTGAGAATGCAGTTAGAGACTTGAAACAAATTTGACTTGACTCAGGAGAGTACTAGAAATATCCAAGGGACCTGTGATTATATACTTTCTCTTTTTTTAATGTCTAAATTCCAGGTCCTTTTAGGTTTGGTATTTCATGATGATTACTGCATTCCTGGATAGTTAAAACCGCTCAACATTTGGCTCAGTGCCTTTTAAAGATATCCTGAAATGCACCATCTATTGCACCTGCTCTATTCAAGTCAGAATTCTGACTAGTCACCCAAGGGGACAAGGAATTCCTTTTGTAGGAGTTAGTGTAGGACTTGTTACCAGGAAAGCTCTATGTTTAGGGTTGTCTAGTCCTGAAGAGAAGTGCTGCGGCTTTTCAAGTTTGAATTTGAAATCCAGCTCCTAAAGGAGGAAAGGTGGGGGCTGTCCTCATCAGCAATTGCATCAGCTGTCTCACATACTTCTGCACATTGACTGGCCTCAAGACTGCTTGTAGAGAAAGCTCAATAAAACAAAGACCTGGATTTCTTACTATACCAAAGTCAATGCAGTTGTACTTCCCTGCTTGGGTGCCTGTTGTAGGACATGCCTGATTTTTCAAGAAAGAATTTCTTCTTTCCTCTTAGCGGAAAGCAAGCTGCCATGGAGAAAAATAAAACATTTTCTCTGTATCAAATAAGAGGCAGCCCATGATCCTTACAGAATGATAGTCAGTGGAAGTTCAGTCCCTGCTTGGGGAGAAAGCAATAGCACAGGGACTCCCTGTGTGAAGAGTATTATGCTTTTTGTTCCAGCCCAAGGCAGCAGATATACTAAGGCACAGCACTCCAGAAGTTATTTCTGATCTCCTTTGAGATGATCATTCCAATCAATATATGGATTATTTCTGGATGCCTGGAGGATGCATAAACCCCACAGGCTTCCCAGCAGCAGCATGCTTTGCATCAGCATATTTGCAACTGCCCAGAAAGAAAGACCAAAGAAAATGTGACAGAGCTCTTTCCAGCCCCCAGCTGTGTGTGCCCACAAGCTTTGTCAACTGAGTTATGGTAATTACATCACTTGAGATTTATTTAATATCTCCATCCGGGAAAAAGAACCAGGAAGTCTGGCTGACAAGCAATCAGAGGGTACTCAGCTGATGAGCAGCTCCCCATCACTAAGAGAGCAGTAGGAACCTGTGATGGATTAGATTTAAAGTAATGGTTTGTCAGAGGGATGGGGCCCATGCCATAGCAATCAGAGCTTCTCTGCACCATTAAGGACCTGTAAGTGGAGCAGGAGGCGCAGTGCAGCTATTGACTGAGCAGGTGGGCTTAAAAATGGGTTTAGGTAACTGTTTACTTCCTTACAGGTGGACAACAAAAAGACATGTTTCTTTGCAGCTTTCTGGCTCTATGATCCTGGCTGTCCATATCAGCATTTATATTGTCTGTCTCTTACATACTTGTGCACAATGGCTGATACGCTTTGTTTAAGCTGTTCAGCTGCAGTCCATGCAGAGCTTTCATGGTTCCATTTGCCTTCTCACCATCTCTACCATTTTTTAAATTTTTATTAAAAAAATAAAATCTGGTATGATTTTTTTGTCAGAACACCACATAGGCAGATCAAGAATCACTGCAGCAATAGCCACCCTTTCTTCCTTTTTTCACCTCCTCTGCACTGAGTGATGGCTTGTACAGAGAGGTGAGGAGGAGGGACATAAACAATAATTCTAGAGCTCTGTAAGACTAGAGTTAGAATATCTGCTGTGAAACTGACCTGGCAGTTGAATCCATCCCAATGCAGGATCTGTAACAGTCAGGCATGCAGGTCTGCGCTGAGATACCTGGGCATCTCCCCTTCTGATTTACTAGTTCGTAGATCAGATGTAGCCAATCAAGAGGAACAGTTCTGCACTCTCAGCTGATGTATCTGTCCTTTCTTTTCTCTCTTTTTGTACCTGAGGAGAGTAGGGGTAGTGTGTGCCAGAGCTGATGCCCCCAGTATGTTTCCTCCCTGTGTTAACCTCATGACTATTAGTGAGCTCAAGAGACACAGCATACCAAACTCCTAGGAGATAGGCCTTTCTGCAGAAGGACAAGGTGTTGTTGAGCATTATCTGCTGCTCGTTGCTTTCCATGGAGCAAAGTTAGGAAGGCCGCATTGGCCTCCTGACAGCCCCCTGCTCTCACTGGGATCTCACGAAAGTGTCTTGCTCCAGCTCTTTCCAGTGCAAGCATTTCAAGCAAGGCACCTTGATCCATACCAAAGTACTTGAATACATCATCCAAGTGTGAAAACATTGGCTGCTGTCCCATTTACCTAAAGAGGAATAATAATACCCAGTCACCTCTGGGAAGCATATGGAACGCTTCTGATTTATTATTTGTTTTATTTATTTTGTCACATTTATCAGCCATTCAACTCTCTGGGCATACAGCCCATACATTAAAAACCAGAATATACTACAAACATCTCTACCCTGAGAATATCCTTTCTGTAAAGCCAGTCATGGGCAAGAGGGAAGGATGAAAGATGCTTTACAGAAGCAAAGAATGACAACAGTATGTATTTTTCTCCAAATCTGTTATTGATGGAACCATTCTAAAAGTGTTGGCAACATCAAGACAAGAAGATGTGGGCAATAAAAGTGTTGGCGACATCAAAACAAGAATATGTGGGCAATAAAAAGCATGGGGGATGTAAAGGCCTCCTGAAGCATGGCTACAGAAACAGCCTCTAGCCAGCCTGTCTCATGTTCAGGAAGTCCCTAGAATGCTCTTTATGTTATTATTTCTCTAATGACCCTATTAGACACATGTGAAATTCTGAGAAGCCTTAGGTATGTTGTAGAGAGCCACACTGGCAGATCTGCCCAGCTGTTCTAAGAAATAGCAAGCTGCAGCGATGAATATATTAGCTTTAGTGCATCCCAATGTGTAATTTATTTGCTGGAAATTAATTTCATGTGCTGGTTTCATTTTCCTGTAGCAAATAATCAGTTTTGCTCCCTTTTTAATTAGGTAACAATATAGATTCCTCTGCTGTTCATGGCACAGTGGTTTATGCATGTCACGTCTTATTCTAAGAGAGACAATTTCAAATGGTTTTCTGGGCCCCAGCACAATTTTTGGGTGACATCAGGTTGTCTATCAGCTGTAGCTCCTTGATCACTGCCAATGAAGGCCTCATACACAAGACCAACTAGAGAAAGAACTCAGCCTGGGCATTGGTATATGTTTTATCCTGCTGCAACAGGAGTGTGAGGAAACCCTATAGAGAAAGCAAATTGAGGACCCTGAAATTTCAATGGTGTTGACATGATGTCAGACACAGGCCCAACTCTGTGTCATTAAATCTGGTGGGTGTTCACTTGTACCTGAGCTGAAACATTGCACTGACATTAGCCAGATTGCATAGACTAGAAGTCTTTGGATCACGTGTATCATTAATACTTTTGGTCCACATCAAACCTAGCACCTTTGTTAGCTCTTCCAGCTGGGATGGCAAGGGCTGACTTTCCCCATGCATTTGGAGGCTGGATGGGGCTGCATGAACACACAGAGCAGGACAATGTGGAAAACCCCACCTCTGCTGATGTTTGCAGAGAGAAGCTAATGGGCTTAAGTAGCAGCTGCTACTTAAAATTAATCAAGTAGTCTGAAGAGAGTAAAAACTATCCCCTTTAGCAGCCACTGGTTACTTTCAGCAAATCTCTAATTAAGAGATAGTGTTTAGGAATATCTGCCCTTCACTGTGCTACAAGGAACCCATATTTCTACTGAAATACATGCTCCTGAAACAAAAGTCCATCAGCAAGCAAACGCTGCTGGAGTGAAATGAAAAAAAAAAATTATCATAGCTATTAAACCATAGAATGTTCCGCAACTAATTAATCTGCTAGGGAAAAGTTTGTTAGTGGGATTTAGGCTTCCTGCTGGGAATCTAAAGCAGACACCACTACCCGAAAAATCGCCGAACAGTCGGTCGCTGCCACCTGCCCCTGAAAGTTTCCTTGCCTCGTAGGTCCCTGCAACGGCTGGTGGGAGGTGAAAACCAGCTTGAAAACGCGCCAGAGCGCAGAGGTTTCGCTGCCTTCCGTCTCCTCTGGGGCAGCGGGGCCGCTCCTGCAGCAGCCGCGCTCGGCAGGGTCGGCTGCAGGGCTCTCCGGCGGCGGAGGGCGGCGGGGCCGGGGCTGCGCAGCGCGGAGGCGCCGCGCCCCGCCCGCGCCTTGTGGAGCTGTCCGCGGTCCGTGGTGCTGAAGCCGCAACGGCCGCCCAGCCCCTTCCTCGCCCCTCCTCCCTTCCTCGCCGGCGTGGGCTCTTGCCGGCAGCCCGGAGCATCAAAGGTTGGGAAGGAACCCATTTCTCCCTTTGATTCTCCCTCTTTCACTCCGCCTTTTTCGCCTTTTTGCTGCTTCCCCCTCTCCCCCTTTTTGTATTTTTTTTTCCTTAAGGCCGGGGGAGGGAGGAGAGCGCAGCCACGTTACACCACTCCCTTCCTGCAAATCCCCGCTTGCACTGCAAACAATCAGCCTTCCCCATTGCATCCGAGTGAGATAGCAACAGCAACATCATCACAGCAAGCCGGATGGGAGAGCGGAGAGGAGGCTGCTGCTGAGGGAGAAAGGCACACAAGCACACATCAGGTCGGTGTTGCCAAAGCGGTGGGAGCCGCACGAAAAATAAGCCATGCTGCCCCGTGTGTCTGGCGCATTGTGCTCCATCCGAGCCTTTTAGGAGGAAGAAGAGAATTATCTGCTCTGATTTTTTTTTCCTCCGCCAACGAGAGTGCGACAGACTTGCAATGGTTGAATGTCAATGCCTGTGAGAGAGAACAACAGTCAGAGGAGGAGGAGGACAGAAGGGGAGGAAAATGAAGGTGGGGACGGTGGTGGAGAGAAAGAAGGAGCCTCGTCCAATGCATCAAGAGGAGGTTCCTGCAGTTGCTGATAGAGCCCTGGCCGCCTCGGCATCCACAATGGTCTGTACAAGCTGCCAATGCGTTTGATGACGTTCCTGTTTTGTGAAAGGAGGAAAGGAAACGTGACCATGTAAGATCCACGTTTCCCCGGTCAATTACATGCGAAGAATAGATCCGATTTCGACGGGATTTTTTTTTTGGTCCAGGATGGTAACAGCTTAGGGAATAATACAGCCGCCTTCCCTCACCAATTTTGCTCTAATTTTTTTTTTTTTTTTGTGGTCCATACAGCTGCTGGAATAGAGAAGGTCAGAATATATAAATATATATAAAATATATATGATATATATATTATATATATAAATATATTTATCTCAGTACGTCTGGGATTAAGCTCATTGAATGCTAATTATTTCTTTCAGGACTTTTAATATTTGCAATGAAATCTTTTAAAGGCAACGGTAAAATCTGAAGCCACCTGGGAGTACAGTGTCGGAAACGTAGGGTGTTTTCCCATAAACAATGTGAAGGTCTTTTTTTTTTTTTTTTCTCAAAGAGGCGATTTTGATAATAACAACAGCTACCAATTTTGCATTTGGATAGCCAGACCAGCTGCTATTTTGTCTGGGTGCACACCGGGTCTCGTGTGATCGGGTTTTATTTTTCAATTGAAAAAAAAAAAAATATATATATATATAAAATAGAAGAAAAAGGAAAAAATACTTGAGATGCCAAATACTGTCGAAAGAACCATATTCTTCCTCCTCCCCACACCCACCGGAGAAGACGTGGACCTTTCTTTTTTACAGGCTTAGGAGTTGGGAAGATCGGGGGCTTTCTCCCGAGCCCGCAGCCCGCGCCCCGGACCCGCGGGCGTGGGAGATTCATTTCCTCCTCCCGCTGATTTCTAAACAAACTTGTGGAGGGGGGAAAGGATCCCCCCGGAACGCAGAGCCGGGCGGGGGGGCTGGCGGTTTGGGATATTTTGTTTATTTTGGGGGATTTTTGTTATTGTCATCCTCGCCGGACTACCGCGGGCTGCTGGGGGCATTCACCCCTCGTCCTCGGCCCCCGCTTGTGTCGTTTTTCCGCCGGCCAGCGCTCCCCCCGCCGGCACTGAGGCTGCAGCGGAGCCCCCCCACCCCGGCCGCGGGGCGCCCGGCTCCTGCCCTGTTCTTTCCCGCCCCGTCCCCGCCTGCCAAGGAAAGGCACATGTTAATTCCACCCGGCGCGGTCATTTTCTGTTACTGCTGCTGCGGGCTCCTCCGTCCGAGACAGATGTTGCGAAACCAAGGCCTCCTCAAGTGCCGCTGCCGCATGCTCTTCAATGACCTGAAGGTCTTCCTGCTGCGGAGACCCCCCGCGCCGCCGCCGCCCTCCCCGCCGCCGCCGCTCCCCATGCTCGGCGGCGCAGAGGCGGCGGCGGGAGCCCCGGCGGGGGCCGCACCGCTCGTGGGGCGCGGGCTCGGCTGGCGGGCGGCGGGCGGCGGCGGCGGAGCGGGCAGCCCGGCCGCCGAGGAGTGGGGCAGCCCCGCCGGGGAGCCGCCCGCCTCCTTGCCCAGCAGCACCTCCTCGGATGACTTCGGCAAGAGCAAGGCCGAGGACCGCTACTCGCTGGGCAGCAGCGTCGACAGCGGCATCCGCACCCCGCTCTGCAGGATCTGCTTCCAAGGGCCGGAGCAGGTGAGCCCGCTGGGGGGCGGGGGATAACGGAGGAGCAGCGATGCTCTGGCCTGCGGGAAGCGGGGCCTGCTGCTCGCAGGGAGCAGGACCTCAAAACCCAGAGGGCATCTTGGCCTCTGCCCAGGGCCTGGACTCCAGGATTTTGTGCCTCGGTGGTGTTTCCCAGGGAACTGTGGGGTGGAGGCTGGCTCCATCCCTCTCTGCTACCCGGCAGCCTTGTCTCAGAGCCGTGCAGCCCTGGCATGGAAGGGACTCATGGACTCCTTTACGGGGCATGTGTACGTTGTCAGGGGGGCTTTTTGTCACCTCCTGGGTGCCCAGTTGCAATGAACGCAGAAGTGGTGCAAAAGATGCATTTAATGTGCTGTTTGCTTTTAAAAATACAACTTCAGTCTGTATAAACACATGGCAGGAGGCAGCCCCACTTCATCAGTGGTTCCCAGGGATGGCTAGTGGGAGCTCTTCAGGTTTACCTTTGCTCTTGTGCTCCCAGTTGCACTAGCTGGAGGAGAAAAGACTGCTGGTTGCATCTGGATCTGCTGAAGCTGCAGCCTTGAGATGCTTCTTGGTACAAACTGAGGTTAGGCCAGTGAAGTTTCCCTCCACCACACAGGAGAATGAACCAAATGCAACGTCACTAGAACTAAGGTGCCACCCTGGGGTGTTACTCTCCCTGTTTATGACAATTCAAAACAGTTCATATATTTTCAGTCTGGCAACTTCCTTAGAGGGACACACACAGCAATATTTGTACCCAATGTGACATAGCTGCAGGTGGCAAGGAAGGCTGCAGACCTCTGCTTGTGAGATCAAGCCCGGATATGCGATAAACTTTATTTCTCAGGATAGCCTTGTTACCTGTGATAAGGGATCCTTGCACGAGAAAGGGTTGTGATGTTTGGCTTGGCTGATACCCATTTCCATTTTATGCACAGATCCTGGCATGTAAGGCGATGCATTGAAATCTTGGACAAAACAGGTTTTGCCCCATGCCTTCTTTCCCATTCATAGACCTATGTGGTCTGTGAAAGAAAGCCAGTGCTAATTTGAGAGTGGCCATGCTCTAGCACACATCCTGCCTGTCCCAAGGCTGCTCACGTCTATAATGCAGTGATTGTGCCTTCCCTTGTGTTGGTCTGAGGATGCTGGTGATGGGGGCTGGGAGGTGGGGAATGGGCTTCCATTCTTCTCTGGGAGAAGAGGGGCCTGCCACCAGCTCATCAGAATATCCACAGCCCTGCTGGATGTGTCCATACCAAGGGTTCCATAGATCATAGCTCAGTGTTCAATGAAGTGTAGTCTTCTCTATGGTTTATGCAGCTGACTGATAGATGTGAGACATGGTTTTCACCACAAGCTTTCAGATTGGGGTGGGGGAAATAATTCTTTTTTAAGGATGCTGTATGCTTTCCTCACTTGACTGTCTCCTCCCCATCTCTTCTAAAAGTTGGAAGCCATGCGACTCACTTCATTGGGATTTGCATTATTCCACATTTCTAGTACTCTTCCTTGGCTTGCCATTCTGCCTGCGTACACCAGACATAGCGCCTGCAAGATTGGCTTATGTGTCTGAGCAAATAGAGTCTAAGCAGAATTGAAATAGAGGTAACTTGCTTCCTTGGAGAACATTAGTGCTTGAAAATAATCGGATGCTAATTCTCACACTGAAAACCTGTGTAGGTTGCATTGTAAGAGTGAGATTATTTGCTGACCATCTGCCAGCCTACCTGAGTGAGAAGCTGAGCAGACGTGACTGGTGTCTAATTGCATTTCACCAGGATTTCTCTTCTTTGCTTCTCACAGTTTCTGACCAGTATAATAAGACATTGAGAGCTGGATTCTGCCACTTGTCCTTGAACAGCACCTTATTCCATAAATAATATTTTCTTCACCAGCATGGCTTGAGGAGAATCTGAAACCCTTTTCTCTGCAGCAGCTGGGAAGTGCAAGTCGTTATGGAGGCCCAACTCCTCATGGAGGCCCAAATCGTGGGGTTTTAAAGCACATCTACGTCCTGACACAGCTTCCTAGAAGTATGGTTCAGAATAACTGAGAGCTGAATCAGTTCAGCTGATGTTAAAACCTGCAGTTTGGTTTATTTGGCCCCTACATCAATAAAACTCCAATAGGGCTAAATCCCGAATTCCTTGTTCCTTTTTTACTATGGTGGTTTACTATTTCCCATTTATTTTCCAACTCAACAGCTGAGCAAAGACTCTTCATGGTTTGGACCCTCACAACTATAAAAGTCATAGATGCACATTATTGTATTCCACCCCTGCCAAGATCATCATAAAAATTTATCCACTTGGAAAGAAAATATAATTGCTAGTTCTTTACTCTGCAGATTAATAACAATGACAGATATAAACAGTGTTTTATTTACCTGTCAAAAACATCTGAAACTGCTGCAGCTGTGGGCAAATTTGCGAGGCTGCATCACAGTACGAAGAACAAAAGCCTTCATTATGAATTGACTGTTAGGCACTTTAAGCTTATTTACCCAGATAAAATGACAGTGAGCCTCCAAAAGATGTTTTAATCCTGTTTTGATTTAAAAAAAAAATATTAAAAAATACAACAGCCAAAGAGGTTTCTTACTAATCTGGCTTTGCAAGCAGGTTTTATTTAATATCTAATGCAAAGCAAAATCGGTAGGGATTTTCACTTTAAATTTATGATTGCCCAACATGCATGATACTTCAGGCTACTGAATTGCTTATATCTTAAGCTCCTCATGTTTGTTTGTGGCTCTTCTG